AGTAATCAGGCATTGGAATGGGCTTCCGAGGGAGGTGGTGGATTTACCATCTGTGGAGGTTTTCAAGATGAGATTGGATGTGGCACTTAGTGCCATGGTCTAGTAACAGCAGTAGGGTTGGGCTTGATGATCTTTGAGGTCTCTTCCAACCTGGCTGTTTCTATGATTCTATGATTGGTTACAATTTTCAGGTTCCTATTGAACTTTTATACAAGTTCTGGATAAAAACTACTCATTTAGTGTCTCAGAGTAAGGCTTTATCATATCTGCAAGGTGGCTGATGTAAAAGTTCCAGAAGACTTTTAACCCTGGCAAACTGCTCTGACATTTCATCTGACAGAGATGCTAGTTGTTTTTGTAAATAACCTGTGCTGCCAGAAGCCCATACAGAGTCTCAGTAGGCTGTGAAGCTGGATAGATAGCCTGTGGCTCCTCAAAAGACAAGATTATTCCATTCTTTTCATCGGTCACTCTCAGCAGCAAAATGCTCTTGATGTTCAGGCTTCCCTGGAGGAACAAATATTTCTCCTTGTACTGATCAGTGAGGAGAAGGAGCTTAGCTCCCCACTTTTAAGTTCTTGTTTTCTGTCTGCTGACTAGTGTGTGCTAAAATGAATGCTTCTCAGTCATAGAATCATAGAATTTTAGGGATTGGAATGGACCTTACAGGTCATCTAGTCCCAGTGCCCCCTGCCATGGGCAGGGACACCTCCCCACTAGACCAGGTTGGCCTGGTCAAGGCCTTATCCAGCCTGGCTTTGAACACCACCAGGGTTGGGGCAGCCACCTCTTCCCTGGGCAAACTGTTGTAATCTCCATAGTTTTAGTATCTCCATAGTTTCAATAATTAAAATTCTTTATTTTTTCATGTGAACAAGGAGGATCTGGGATTTTTCAGGCTCTTTCTCATTTTGAAGCATTCCTTATTTCAATTCAAGACCTAAGCAATTCAACTTTTTTCTGATGTTTATCTCTCTTCCCTGACTTAAGAAAAAAATACATCCAAAGGATGGTCATGGATTTTTCTTTTCAGAGAGGTTATATGGCACTGTTTTGTTCTCCTGTTCCTTCAGGAGCTGAAACATTGACACATCTTTGTCTTCAGTAGCATTTGCTTTGGTATATGGCCAAAGCGGTGTTTTAATTTGGTGCCAAGCACTTCCAGGTGGATTTTGTGGGTGATACAGAATATGTTGGTAGAAAGTGATTCATTTTAAGGTCATAGCAACCAGTATCCAGTCACTGCTTTTGGGACCTATAGAGCCATTGCTGGCAATGGAACTTCCCTACATGCTGCTTCTAAATGAGTACAATTCACTCTGCAGAAACAGCCTTCACTAAAGAATTAGGAAACTTTTTTTACAGTGGAGATAAATAGTACCATGATGCGATCATTCTCAAGTATTTGTTTCTCTCTGCAAGGCCTTCCTACCAATGCCCCAGTATGTTCTGTGAAACACCAATGGTGCACCACATCCGTCGCTTTGTTCATGGGCAAGGCTGTGTGCAGATTGTGCTAAAGGAGCTGGACTCCCCAGTGCCTGGGTACCAGCACACCATCCTTACTTACTCGTGGTGCAGACTCTGCAAACAGGTAAGGAGGTGGACTTAATCATTGCTATTCCAGTTTAGTATTCATGTTGTGACTGACCTTGTATGGAAGGGCAGCATTTTTGAGAAAGTGCTCATCCCTGAAGCTACGGTTAAACTGCCAGAAAACCTGTTACTGACACAAATGTTCTCATGTTATCTACCAAATTCCTCTTGTAGAATTGGGGCTGTTGAGGGTGAAACATCTTGTGTGAGGTAGTTATTAGAAAGTGTCAAAAATGGCTCTGAAAGGATAGATTTATGCAGGAAAAAATGGAGTTGCTCCCTTAGAGGTGAAGAGTATAGTCTCTTCCCTGCAGTGAATCAGCACAAGCATCAAAAGGATGTATTTATGGGGAAGGGCAGACACTGAGACCTACAGGTCTTGGTATCCTTTGATCTACCGTGGTCTGCACAGCTGCATTGCATCAACATGATGCCTAGACATCCTTTAGTATTGATTAGAAAGTAACATCTTCATTAGAGAAGTGCTAAATTGCTCTGAGAAAGCCCACAAGATAGTAAGATTATGTATTATCTGAAACTTGTTCTGTAATTTAGCTAAGAAAACATTACTAACTGGATACTCATCTCTAGCTAAACATTAAGAGCCATTAAAGAGACAAGAATAAAACTTAACGAAAAAAGATTCATGCAGTGCCTGAAATGCAGAACACCTCAATCACCCATGTGGATGAGTCAATTCACCTACTTATGCTGACTTAAACACGGGTGTTGGATTTAAAGATAGCTGGAAGAGGTTAATGTAATTGCTGATGGCAGGCCCTGCACTGCTGTATGCATACCTGCTCTGTAGCCTTCTATTTCTGTGTGCTCATGTAAACACTAATATATGTTTGTGGCTATTAAGTGTGTGTAAAGTGGTGTCTACTCTAAGCTTGCAAGCCCTGCTGAAGTTGAAATATACTGCAAAGCAAGACTGATGCATTTGTAGCTGAAGAATCACCAGGGAAAAAGTATATGATGTAACCACTGCTGCTGGCTGGGTTGCTGGAAATTGTCACTATGCAGAGAAATAGCCTTCCTGATATAAACTTCCATTGAGGATATGTTTGGACTCCCCCAGCTTAGCACCTGTCATCATCAACTAGCAGTTGTTGTAGATCAGATTTATTTTAACTATGTGTTAGCCTTAGCTTTGCATAAATGCTATCTTCGTTGGTTTAGTATGTTTCGGGGTCATGGGTACTTCTTGTATTAGAAATACTAGCTTGCCATCTAGATTGGCCCACCCTTAATCATGTTTGAAGGATGAAATTGAGACACTTGGCTTTCAATTTTTCAGGTGACACCAGTTGTTCCCCTTTCTAATGACTCTTGGTCTATGTCTTTCGCAAAATACCTTGAGCTGAGGTTCTATGGGTACCAATACAGTCGAAGGGCCAATGCAGAGCCTTGTGGTCATTCCATTCACCATGACTATCACCAGTATTTTTCCTATAATCAGATGGTGGCATCTTTCAGGTGAGTTCCACTGCTGGAAATTTCCTTCTCTCTCTAGTATTATATGAAGCATATGGCTCTAGTAAGGATTCATCAGTTCTGTCCTTTACTATGAGTACAACATGGGATAGCATAACTGCACTATAACCACAAGTGCAGGGCTGTGTGCTGGGTTGCAGAGGGCATCGTGGGTGCCATCACTGCCCAAGATGTGGTGGGCACTGTTCTAAGAATGGGTGGTTCCAGTTCCCGATACAGAAGGGAAATACTTTTCCTGTCTTAATTCCAAAAGCTTTCAGAATTCTGTTCTTGCAATATGATCTGTGGTTTTACATTTGCCTAGGAGTGTTATTGCTACTAAAAGTAACAAGCCCTGGACATGCTGACAGTGCCTCTTATTATATAAGGGCCTCAAACCTCAATATGGAGAAGATTTACTACTATGTGGTGTGAGTGTTGTTAATAGCTGTTGTATTGCCTTCTCAGCTACTCTCCAATCCGGCTGCTTGAAGTGTGTGTCCCACTCCCCAAGATCTACATCAAACGACAGGCTCCATTAAAAGTTACTATTTTGCAGGATCTCAAGGATTTCTCACAAAAGTAAGCTTTGTTTCTAATGTCATCCTTATTTTATTTGTCTTTTGTACTTTTATTAGCAGAACACACAACTTTTTCTAGTAAAGATGACATTAGCTAAGTATTCATTATTTGATAGAAGAGGAATTATTTCAAACATATATATGTATATCCTTCTAAGGGAGAGTGATATCAAAATCTTTATCACCTTTACCTGCTCTGTCTGTATTAATCTCTCACCTTTTCATCTGGTGGCAGTTCAGCTTAAACATAGCCAGTAAAAACTAAGATTCTTCTCCATGCCTGAATGTTGGACTGATATGAGTGATATAGCATGTTTCTGAATGATGATGCCAAGTAGCCACTGAAAGGTTGACCATCAGCTGATATCTGAAATGTCACCTTTTCTTATGAAATGCCTTCTCAAGCACAGCTAAAGTATTTTTAGTTCCTCCCTCTAATGCTAAAAATGAAACAGAGGAGGAGGTGGTCCTAGAAGCCCTAATCTGAAAACTGCAGGTAATACTTTATACCCTTACCCTAACATTTCTTTATAGAAAATCTGACCAATTTAAATTCTGTCTTCAGCTCAAAAAAACCTGCAGAGACATGGCTCAAATCTATTGTCCAAACAGAACTGTTTTCATTATATTGGTCACATGGCAGCTAAAATCTCTGGTGTATAAAAGTGACTGCCTTTGTTAGCTATTGAATATGATAACAGCAGGCAGACTGGTGCCTTCTTGTAGTCTAAGGTAAACTCCTATAAGCCTGGACACCTTGTAAATGTAGGAACAAAAAAGATAGAAGACAGGCCTGGTAAAAACAGTATTCAGTCCAGCCTGACTGCTGTTCTGCCTGGCCACAGCATTCCTATATGGCTGATGTCTCTGTGACCACCAGACTTCAAAACCTATGAAGCTTTGTTTAGGGCTCAAATAGATCATTACTTCTGAGCCCTGCTGGTGGGGGTGAAGCTTGCAGACCCTGATTCTTCCTAGTCACAGATCACAAAATGGTTCCCCTTTGTTAGTAATGTGTTTGTGACCTTTGTCTTGCTCTCTGACATTTTTCTCCACTGTTAAGAATAAGTTGTGGAGGAAAATGTCAGTGTGTGTAACATCTAGGTTTCTGCTATTACTAATGAAGTTTTCCAACTTGCCCTTGTAAATTCAGAGTGACAGCCTACTATGCAGGAAGGCTGTTGTGTATTGTCCATGGTATTCTTAAATGCTAACCTTAAACATGCTCAGACTTTTATTAAAGAATGTTGAAGCTGTTCCAAGTAGTCACAGCTTAACTCTTTGCATGCCTGTTGACAGGGTGTCACAAGTGTATCTTGCTGTTGATGATCGCCTTGCTTCTCTGAAAACGGACACTTTCAGCAAAACAAGAGAGGAGAAGATGGAAGACCTCTTTGCCCAAAAGGAGGTAATAGACTCTTTGCATATCAGCAGACCATAGGCTGTGAAGTGTGTGGAGGAGCCACTCAGATCTTGTGTCATCTTGGGTGAGAGAACACTGACAGGTTTTCTTTTGGCAGATGGAAGAAGGGGAGTTTCGGAACTGGACAGAGAAAATCCAAGCAAGGCTGCTTTCATCATCACTAGACACACCTCAACAATTGCAATCTGTTTTTGAGTCTCTGATAGCTAAAAAGCAAGGACTTTGTGAGATGCTACAAGCCTGGAATAATAGGTAAGAGGACACGTGTTGGAATCATGAGCAAGAATAATACAATGTTTGCTATAGGAGGGAAGAAGTTCTGCTGTACTTTTCCTATAGGGCAGTTGCTCTGTACAGCTTGTGCTGGTTAACTTTTACTGGTTAAGACCACAGAGCTGGTTGATTGGAACAGAAAATCATTTCAGGCAATATAATAAACATAATTATGTTGTAGAGCACAACTTTCATCTGGAGCAGAAAGTGTCATTTGAATAAAGGTAGAAGAGGTGGAAAGAGGGGAGCATAAGGGACCAGCTGATTGTGTGAAGTTATCAGAGGTGAAGAAAATGTGCCATCTTTGGCCATTTGAAACATCACTTTGATGCAGTAATCTGATTTTGCAGTCAAGGCATGCTTGGCTGTATTCTAGTGAGGAGAAACTTCATAACTTGTGTCTTTCAGAGATAATACCAATAACCTATCTTTTGATTAATTTTTCTTCGGTGGTATGTTTTATGTGGTTGTGTTGTTGTTTTTGTTTTATTATGACTGTTTTTTTAAAATTTAAGATTGCAGGATCTGTTTCAACAAGAGAAAGGGAGAAAACGTCCATCAGTACCACCCAGTCCTGGGAGACTGAGACAAGGTGAAGAAAGCAAGGTATGAGTAGCAGGCTAGAAGCTGCTTTAAGCATTGTTTTTTCCTGGGGCAATACAATAATCTTAAGACTGGCTTCAGTTCACTTTAATAATTAGGAAACTGGTTTTACTGCATCCTGTAGTTTTCAGCTGGAAAAGCATAAATTGCATGTTAGTATGCGTATCTTTACCTAAAGGTGTGAACTAAGAGTCATATTGTATGGAAAAAGACTAAATATGAATAGGAGTGGATGATTTTCTGTGATGTTTATGTTGTGTTGATATAAACACTACCAGCAGAGAGCTGCAGTCATTGTCAAGTGTATGCCTAGATAGGGAGGGATTGGGTCACCTCATTTGATCCTAGGTTGTGGCCCATCAGGTGTATCCCTTGTGAAAAAATACTGAGAAAGGCAGAGCAAAGGACATGGGAAAGACTGATAATGAATTTTCAGGATGATCCCTGTTTTGCAATGTATCCTGTGGGAACTGACTGAGGGGGTGTATACACGATTTTGGACTGCTGCCTCAAGAGCTCTGTCCAAGACTACACTTGCCAGCATGCTGAGCATTCACCCTTTGAGGAGCTGGTATTCTGAGGAGAATATCCAGGCTGCAAGGCAATGTAACATGAGCATCATACAGAGAGGCTGAACTCCCAATAGTTCAAACATTAGCAAGGTGCACTAAGAAACTCCATGCGACCCTAGGTTTGTTCAGCTGCATGCATACTGGTCCTTTCCACTTAACACATATTTGTTAGGTGCTAAAACACACGGAACCTTGATTTAGTAGCTAGTAGGTTCATACAGAGGGAGAGTGTAGTGTTTAAAGCAGCATACACAGATGATAACAGTCATAAGCATCTTGTGAACCTGGGTTGCTGTTGCCTTGTCCTTTTTCCTGTGGTCACAGATACAGTGACAAAGAAGAGGCTGAGAAGTGGGTGGGAGTGCTCTGTTGTGGTACATCTGCTTTTGCAAGTGTTCCACAGAGGAGGAAGGAATACAGCTGTGTAAAGAGCTTGGCATCAAAACTGGTATTTTGTTATTGTGCCTAGATCAGTAGCATGGACGCTTCCCCACGCAATGCTTCTCCAGCACTGCAGAATGGAGAGAAAGGTCTGTTACTTTTTTTTCATAAGCTATGGAAAGAAGCTTTCTGTAACCCTTTCCCTGACATGGGAGCTTTTGTCAAATTTGATAATTCAGAGAAACAGCAAATCCCCATTCTGTCAGATTTACTCTTTCTTATAGTAAGATAGAAATTGGCCATCTGCTTTTGAAGCTGAATTACTAATGATACTAAGTTGATCAAACTTTGAACTCTAAAAGCTTTCAGAGGCTTTCCAAATACCTGAATAACCACATGTAACTTGGGAAATGCCTCTCACCTCTTCTGTGAACTGGTTGTGGGTGCTGAGACATCTTACCTGTGAAGGCATACTGGGAGTTTGTGGGAACTGTAGGTAGTGGGTATAAGTGTGTGTGTCTTCTGGAGGTTATGTGTTACATTGATCAGCTTGCCCAGTCCTCTTTCAGAGGCTTTCCAAATACCTGAATAACCACATGTAACTTGGGAAATGCCTCTCACCTCTTCTGTGAACTGGTTGTGGGTGCTGAGACATCTTACCTGTGAAGGCATACTGGGAGTTTGTGGGAACTGTAGGTAGTGGGTATAAGTGTGTGTGTCTTCTGGAGGTTATGTGTTACATTGATCAGCTTGCCCAGTCCTTTGGTCTGCATGGCCTTACCTGTTTTCTGAGTAAAAACTTCTTAAAAGTAGATACTGGTGGAGCTTGGCCTGGGAGCAAGCAATGTCACTTCTGACAGCTGTGTAAAATCCTTTCTTCTGTCCTTAACTGTCCTTGTACTCTCAGAGGATCGTTTCCTGACTACGTTATCGAGTCAGAGCTCCACAGGCTCCACCCATCTGCAGCTGCCCACACCTCCAGAGGTATCAGAACATATGACTGGTGCCAGCACACTCTCTGAACAGGATACAACAAGCAGCTCAGAAGGTATAGTTCAGTTGTGTTCTTGTATTCTTTCTCTGTAGCAAGTGTACAAGATCCATTTGGGAAACGGCTGATCTGGTAACTCTGGTCTGCAACCTTTGGTCTGCAGCTTAAGGTTTGATATTGTGATACAGACTTAACTTTTCTGTTCCAGATGTATTTGATGGACACTTGCTGGGATCTACAGACAGCCAAGTGAAGGAGAAGTCTACTATGAAAGCTATTTTGGCTAATTTTTTGCCTGGAAACAACTATAACCCCATTCCATTTCCCTTGTAAGTACTGCATTGTATATACAATGTACAAAATTAGCAGCCTGGTCAAATTGCAGACAGGGCTGTGCATGCTTCCTTTGCTTGGTATATAATTGAAGTAATTAGGTGAGTTTGCTCCTGAATAAGCTATAGAATTTTGTCAAGGTAGGAAGTTTTCTGTGTCCCTTCTAGGTGTTAGTAGGTTGCTCACCTTTCTTATTAATGATCCACCCTTGTGTAAACACATTAGCAGTTTTTTCCTTGTCCTAGCAGACATGCCTCCTTAGAACTCTTGTGGAAGACAAAGGGGTGGGGGAAAGAGGGAGAAAGGTGCTTTCTAACTTCACTGCTGAAGGGAGGGAGTGGAAATGTCCTTCCTTAGCAAAGACTTACTAAAGCTACATGCCTGCTTCTTGTTTTTGCTTCCAGACCTCTTCCAAGGGTTGGACTCAAATTGGCATTGTTTGGGTGTAGGTCAGATTCAATGGCTACTGCATGTGCCCTCAAGTCCCCTTCTCATGTGAAGATGGGCAGGCTGGAAAGTCTTGCAGCTACTTGGTCTGCGTGCTTTGTAGTGTTTCTCTTTTGACATGAGCCTAACGTTTGGCAGCTTGAGTTTAACTTCTGAATCCCACCCCCAGGGTAGAAGCGGAGGCCTTGGGCTAATGAGGTAAAAGCTAAATGACTGGACCCTACAGATAAGTCAGAGAAAATCTTACAGGAACCCAGGAGGCTTTGGGGAACTTTCTGTGCTAAACTGCTTGTTCAGAAAAGAGTCCAGGTTAGTCCCCTAATTTCACTCTGCAGGCTATGCTGCAGAACAGTCAAACCAAACTCAGGCAGGTTTTGGTGCCATTAGAAACAGTGGCTGCTAAACAGAAATAGACTCTTATTCTAACTTGGAGCTGGTCTTCGGATATAAGCAGCTTGCTTGAAATGCTGATTGCCTAACACTCTACCATTTAGAATTAACCACATAGTTATGAATGTGTCTATTGGGAGAAGCTTATCTGGGGGGCTTTGGTTCTATGCTGAGACTTGCAGCTTGTGCCTGGGAGTGCAGTGATGAGATCTGGGTTTTGACCAAAACTTAACCTTTCCTTTCCACAAATTTTTACAGTCTACTAACAGCCTCCCTATGTCATTTTCATTTAGTGAGCCGGATAAGCACTACCTAATGTATGAGCATGAACGTGTACCTATTGCAGTCTGTGAGAAAGAACCAAGCTCCATCATAGCTTTTGCTCTCAGGTACTGGTGTGATTTTGCTGTTCATCTGACACACTTTGTACTTTTGCAGCTTTTCTGTTTGAGGAATATTTAAATCCTAATAGTAGGAAACAACCATGGCAGAATTTCTTCATTCAGCTGTGTTGAGAGTATCTACCAGGGCTGAAGTAGTCTCCTTTTACTACTGAGATATGAAAAGTAGATTTTCCAACCTGACAGCTGGATTTGGGACTTTTTTAGTTGAACTCTAGCATGCAAAAATTAAGTAGTTGTGTAGTGTGCCTTGTAATTAGATATTATTAGAGTAAGAAGTGCAACTAAAATTTACTCAGCCTCTCCAGCCTGGAGGAAGTGCAGCTGGGTTAGGGAACAACAGTTAGGCAAAGGACAGACTGCAGTATCAATACTACCTTTGGTCATAGCAGCTCTTTCTACTATTCAGCTCTCCAAAGCAGCTGCTTCAGTAAACCTTGGGGTTTCCATGTCTCAAGGCAGCAGATTTTTGAAGAAATGCATTCTTAAATTGTTGGAGAGGAAGAAACAAGGGGAGATTTTTCCTGCAGCATTATCTAGAGCAGCTTCCTGTTCTAGGGAAACTAAGTTCTAATTATAAGTAAAAAATGAAGCAGAAGTTTTTCTACTGTGATGTTTTGTTTACTGTGGTTGTCTCTGAGCTGAATCTTTGGGTTGGTGTTACAGAGTCTCCCAGAGAATAATTAACTCTTCATTTGTTTTCTTTAATATCCTTTTTCTTTCAGTTGCAAGGAGTACAGAAATGCCCTGGATGAGTTGTCCAAAGCATCTCTGAAGAGCAGTTCTGAAGAAGGGCTACAAGCGAACAGGTGACATGCAGGAACTACAGTCCATAGAGCAAAGGCACAGTGATTGTAGTGAATAAGCCAAAACTCAGATAGGGAAGAACCTTCAAAATATGCCCGTGTTAAGATCTCTGCATTCTGGTGGAATTTGACACATTCCATGTATCCAACTGATACTTGCAGTATCTTAGTTTCCATTTCATGTTAGGGACTGTGCTGACTCCATCACCTAATCCCTTGACTATGTGCATGGTAGGATTACTGGGCCTGCTTACCTTTCCTCTGGTGATGGATAGAACTGTTGCTATGGACCCAAGAGGATTTTTTTCGGGAAGGTGGAGGAGAACAACTTTGGAGAGTCCCACACCATTGTCTTCTTCCCATAGTAGTACTTAGAGTTAGGCATAGCGGAGAAATCAATGTCCAGGCATACAGCAGTAGTGTCTCGGGTGGCAGTGCTTTCTGGGTTCATGACTTCTTTTCTCTTGCTCCATTCAGCATGCCAGACAGCAAGCCAAAGAGCAGTAGCCCTGTCCGTCTGCCTGAGGCTAACATGGGTCCTTCAAATCGCGGTGCAGAACCAGAACAGCGTAAGACCATTTTGCCAAAATCATATACATGATGCTAATCTTGGCTCAGATTTGAGTCCACTTAACCTGGGTTCTAGCTCTTGTGAAAGTTAAGTTAGAAAAACCAAAATGCGTTCTGAGTTGAAATTGTGACTAGTCTTAGAGTTGACTTATGTAAAACATGAGAGGAGTTGGGGCTGTGTGGGGTTTTGGGTGTTTTTTTGGAGTCTGTGGCTTTCATTCATCTTTACAAGATCAGACTGTCATTTCCTGATTTTAGTATGTTATGACATAGTGGACCTTGGGTTGTTCTTGAATCTAGGCTAGTCAGTGGGGTATGATGCTCATAATACGTTTTGACTGTTTTGGGCATTGCAGTCCAAAAGATGGCAATTAAGGTACTTTGAAATGGAGACAAGAGGTTCTTACTATGTTAAAGATGCTCATGCATGGTCTGTTTTCAAATGACTCAGCATTCCAGAATGCTACTCAGAATGCTGCATCAGCTAACCTTGTGGACCTTAGTTGCTTGAAGAACAGCAAATGAGTTAGTTGAATGGCATAATTCTTCCAGTTAGAACAATGAATGGGGAATGTTCATATGAGTCATGCTTTAATTAAACTGCTTGTGGAAGTGCCAACAGCAATTTCTTTATTATTTTTCACTGTAGCAAAGAAACCATCTGGTGTTTTGTCTTTCTTCCGTGGCACGGGAGGGAAGAGCCCGGACCTGTCTTCCCAGAAGAAGGAGACCTTACGTGGTGCTGACAGTGCTTACTACCAGGTTGGACAGATGGGCAAAGAGGGAGCAGAAAACCAAGGAGCAGAGACTCAAGGTACAAGACTGTTGAGTCCATCTTCTCTCTTGGACTGTAACTTCTCCCAAACCTCATTCATGCTTGTGAGGCCCAGAATGCACTCCTGCTCATACTTTGCCAAGAGTCCTAGATTACTCAACATGCTTTGAAAATGAATCATTTGAACATCAAATATGGGTTTCTCCCAGAGACATAGCTTTGCTTTGTGATAAAGGCATCAGGGTCTTTCAAACCCTGGTAACTAAAGGGACATCAAGTAATCTGGACTTGAATGCCTTTGAATTGAGATGGTTCTAGTTAAGCAGCCTAGACTCTCTTCCTCCTTTGCTGTTTAACTTTCATTGTTTCAGCTCATGGAAAATGAATGTAGAGAAAGAGGAAGCTTGGACTTGTGTTCCATAAACTTCTAGTGGAAGGTGTCCCTGCTCATGGCAGGGGTTGGAACTGTATGATCTTTAAGGTCTCTTCCAACCCAAACCATTCTGTGATTCTGTGAAACAGCAGTGCCCTTCCAGCATATGTATTATATCATACCATTATAGCTGTATTACTAATTCCCTATGTATAGTTCAGTCTGTATTATTGAAAAAAAAATTTCCTGTGGTGTGAGTTTACAAGTAGTACCTTACATGGCTTTCTTGGCATTAATAATGCACAGCCCTGACAGAATGGTCCCTTTATGCCTTCAGATGATGGAGATGGAGGAGATGGACAGAAGAAACAGCTGGTGAATCCCCATGTTGAACTCCGTGAGTAGTTGTAAATATTAACTTAGAATTAGCTGACAAGCTCCTTGTGCAAGTGTAATGGAAATCTTCTTGAAGTTAATTATTTTTAATTTGTATTTGGCACAAAGGAAAATCAAAGCAAGAAAAGAACATTTTTACTTACTGTAATCAATCTCTCCTTTGTAAAAATACCCCATTTTTTTAATTGATCTTTTGTTTGAACAGTCCTATGGCATACATTGTGAGCTAACCCAAAGGGGGCTGACTTTCCTGTAAGTTTTTCAGTTAAATCCCATTGGTTGAAACTTCTGAATTACAATAAGCATGAGAAGGGGATGCTTAGCACAATAATATTCTTCAAGACATTAGTGGAATCTCACTGTTATCTAAAGTAATGAATGAGTACTGAATGCCCTTAGTGAGGAAGACTGCTTTGCAGAGTTTTCAGATGCAAATGCCAAGTTCTACTGCCGGATTTATTATGCTGGAGAGTTTCACAAGATGCGTGAAGTGATCCTGGGAAGCAGTGAAGAGGACTTCATCCGATCCCTCTCTCACTCTATGCCCTGGCAGGCACGAGGGGGCAAATCTGGGGCTGCATTCTATGTGACTGAGGGTAAATACAGCTGCTTCTCCCTTTGTAATTAGAGGGTATTATTTGGGGTTGGTAGTGGTTAGTGCATCATTTAATCCCTGACTGCCTCTACCCAAAGGACTGGTGAGTGAAGTGGCCAATCAGAAGGGAAGGTTAAGTGGATTGTTCTGGGGTCTTCAATATCAAATTATTTGTCTCTTTGTACGTGCAGGAAAACAAAATGCAATTCTGTTTTTCAGCAGTAGCAACTAGGAAGGCCAGGTGAGCAGAAGGGTTATACTCTTAGGCAGGCTTCAGAAAACAAAAACTTGAGTATAAATCAAGGAAAACTGGTTACTAAAGACACAGTGTATCTTACAATCTCACATGCTGCAGTTAATTGATTATTTTTTTTCAAACTATGGCTGTTTCTAGGCCCCTACTTAAAACAAGTATTGAATGGAAGTGTCTGTAGGCTGTTTCTGTTACCTATATAGAAAGCCCATATAGCTGGGGTAGATCTAATGTAGGCAGTTTCTTCTCACTGATTTAATAGAAGGCCAAAATCCATAGAGGCTGAAATTCAGAATATATGAAGTAAAAACAATCTAGAAATGAGCTTTGGGTAAGGATTTAAGAGCATTGTAGTACTTTAATTTTTCCAGCCATTTTGGCTGTGTGACAGTCCTAAAGAAATTGTAATACATTACTTACTGATGTATTATTATGTAACTCTCTGTTGCCTGTGTCTGATATTAAAACAGATGATAGATTCATCTTGAAGCAAATGCCTCGTCTGGAAGTCCAGTCATTCCTCGATTTTGCTCCACACTACTTCACTTACATCACTAATGCAGTTCAGCACAAGGTATTGAAAAACGTGCCTTTTATTTTAGGCAGTATTCTCTATTTTACAGACTAGTATCAGTTTCTATTAACCCTTTCATTTAAATAAAAGAAAATATTGGAGGGTATGAGTTGTACTAATAACATGTTTTTAAGATGTAAAGTGGAAATTTTGCTAGGGCTTCTAAGTTATAATACACAGTCAGAGACAATAGCAGTGCCTCTAGTGCTGATTGCCTCTACATGGGGATCTTAACCTATGTGTTCTCTTCATCAGAAGCCCACAGCACTGGCCAAAATCCTTGGAGTGTATCGAATTGGTTACAAGAACTCTCAAAACAACACTGAAAAGAAACTGGATCTGCTTGTCATGGAAAACCTTTTCTATGGCAGGAAAATGGCTCAGGTAAGAACTAAGTGTTCTGTTCCCTGGCAGTGCAGTTGTGCCTGGGAGCAGGAGCAGGGTCACCAGCAGCCATAGAGGTAACTTTGCATGTGCTGTCTCTGTCTAGCACTGCTCAAAGATGACAGTTCGTGCCTGTTTCCTTGTTAGGTGATCCTCAGTAACGTGATGCCTGTAGTGGCTAGTTCAGATAGCTGTAGTGCAGGGTTCAGGTTTTAGAAATCTTGTTTGTCAGTGTATCTCTAGTGTCTGGGAGAAAGCATCACCAACCTAATTAGGAAAATGTCAAACCTTTTTGCAAAGAAGAACTGACTAATTTGTTTAGATTGAGAGCTTACTCATAGAGATGGTGAGTTACTGTGTAGTGGGGGGAACTAATGTTTTCAACCCACTGTTCTTTCTCAGAACCACTTCATGTATGGGACAAGGTTTTGAGTTCAGCCTTGCTCTTTGTCAAGGAAAAGCAGTCTTTATCAGGCAGTAGAATGAAGACCTTAAAATGACTAGGGGGAAATTCTCTTCAAAAACAGATTTGATGCTGAGAAGGAAGTTCAAGAAAATGTCATTTCTAAAACTAGATGGTATCAGTTATTTCCACCTTACCTCCCAGTGCCTGACCTTGAACAGGTGATGTGTGTTGGGAGGAAGTGAACTGAGGGAATTCTAGATAAATGTAAAGGATGTTGTGTGTTATCTTTTTGTTTGCCTATATTTGAAATCATTGTGGGAGGTCAGGCACTGGATAACAGAAACCCTAACAGACTATGGACTCTGTTCCTGAAGTTAGTTAAATTTTGACTGGACGGAGCTTAAACAACCTTTTCCAACAGGGCCTGCTTCAAGCAGGACTTTGGACTCAAGACTTTCAGAGATCCTTTCCAATCTAATGATGGTCTGTCTCTTGCCTTGCCAGTGTTAGCAGATGACAAATGGTGCTTCATGCATGACCCACCCCCCTCTTCAGTGGCTTTATTTTTGTCAGCATTTGACTCCGTAGAAGATAGCTGTAAAACTGAGGTTACCTAAACAATATAAAAAAATAGGCACATCTTTTTCCTCTTAAATTGGGCTAAATATTAATGAAATAACTTGCCTAAAACTTGTGAATTCAGGTGGCAGAACTTTCACCTGGGCTTACACTCTACTCTCCACTCAGGAAACTAATTGTTGCACTACAAAAATACTTTGTTAACTGTCTTCCTTCTGCAGAGAAGGAAACAGTTGCCCTGCTGTGCTGCCTTCTCAAGCAGTTAGGTATGTTGATGTCTTTAACCCCACAGACAAAGGGAACAAAGCAGTGCTGTTCTCCATTTGTAGGTTTTTGACCTGAAGGGCTCCCTCCGGAATAGAAATGTCAAAACAGACACAGGCAAGGAAACTTGTGATGTAGTTCTGCTGGATGAAAACCTTCTGAAGATGGTCCGGGACAATCCTCTGTACATACGTTCCCATTGCAAAGCTGTGCTGAGAGCTTCCATACACAGTGATTCCCAGTTCCTCTCCAGCCATCTCATCATCGACTATTCCCTGCTGGTGGGTCGTGATGATACCAACAATGAGCTGGTGGTTGGGATCATTGGTAGGTTATCTTCTCTACTTCCTTGCTTTCAGGTGGTGAAGCTTCTGGTTTAGCTGAAACTTTTGGCTTCTTCTGGTTTAGCTGTTTATAGTACTCTTAAAACTGTACTACCACCAGAGAGATGTGTGTCAAGAAATCTTGTCTTTGGTGGAATACCACCCTCACCTATTCAAAGTGGAGGCAGGAAGTCTTCTCTCCAAGTCTTGTATAGCGCTTATGTTAACATTTGCATTGCTAAGAGTATATGCAGGAGGCCTCACAGGTAGTGAGAGACACTTGAAGTTGGCGTTTAACCTACACTTTGACTCCAGTTTGAAGCAGGGAAGCTTATTTGTATGCTTTTATAAATTTAATCTTTTAAACTTAAGTTTAGTCATGTTTACATCATCTTTTAAATTTTAACTTGTGTTGAGGAGATTTAAGGAGAAATGGTATTGGTAGAATTGGAAGAGGGAAGTTAAACATTAGATCTAGTTTTGTAGAATCTTGAGTGTTTGGGCAAATGGGATGAGACTCTGCTCCTTCTGTAAATGTGGCTTTTTGTTGTCATATGTTGTCTTACATGATTAAATATTATATTTTATATGATGTTTAAAGATAACAGTCCCTTCACTGTTTAACACAAATATCTGAAGGAACTTGTTGAACACAAATATCTTCAAGAATAGAAACATGTCTGCTGTGTCTGTCAGGGAATCCCAATGATAACCCGAGAACTTACAAAGTACTCAGACTAAATTAGCATTGGACTGGAACTGAAAAACATTAGCTTGGACTGTGTTTGAATCTGAGGTCAGTATCTCTATCTATTTTAGATGCTAATTTGATACAGGAAACAATTAAGTTAGGTCTGTGAAAGTCTTTAAAAACTTTATTTTTAGGCCCTGTTGCATGAAACTCTGGGTCTTGAGGCATGAAGTGACTAGTTAGTGCACATACTGATATCAGTTCCAAAACATTTCTAAGGAGTATTTTCACAGAGTATTCAGATAAATGGATAAGTCTTAAGATTGTCAAATCTGGCTATGTTTTGTGTAAAGCACAGCTGAGATAAAATGTGAGTACTTAGGCTGTCCTTTTGTAAACCTAGAAACAGTAAATTCAAAATTGTATATTTACAGTTGTAGTCAAATGTTAGCAGATAATGATATCCAGTAATGTAAACCTGATCTTACTGTAGCTTCAGCTTTGCAGACCAAAATGTTCCTGTGCTTGTGATGACTGATCATACTTTCTCTGAAAGGGGCATGGAAGCAATTCTGAAGTCCTCTTCTTGCAGCCTCCACTTCCAATCAGGGTCACTGATGGTTTTCCAGGCCTCCCTGTCATGAAGTAGAAAGCATTTAATTTGTTATCAAACCTGTTATAGGTGGCTGAAGTGATGAGAAATACTGGCTTAAATGGAGAGGTATCCAAGTCTTGATGCTGCTAGCTGTTGCAGTAAAGTGGTGGGAGCAGTTAGGGCAAAGTGAGGCTTCTGGGATGAGGAGGAGCTATGTGACTCTTGAAAATGAGCCCTGGACAGTCTAACACGGATAAAGACACACATATGCCTGGGCAGTCTGCTTTTGTAGAGACACAGGAGTTGATTGTGATCGTGCTGGTCTTTTGAGATACTGTATTCACCCTACCCAAATATAATCATTATAGAAAGTGAGGCAACTGGTAGGGAAAACACTGAAGCTCTGACTGCAGAAGCCTACTGCTTTCTTGCCCTTTTTGAGGGGAAATAGATACATTTTAGAACAGTGTTACTTGGGTTGTAGCAGATATAACATGCTTGTGCGTGGATTATTTTTATTTCAACAGACTATATTCGCACTTTTACGTGGGACAAAAAGCTTGAAATGGTAGTAAAGTCAACTGGCATACTGGGAGGACAAGGTAAGTCCAGAATGAAAGAAAAACTTTTGATTGTGTTTCCTTGTTACCTGGAAGCTTTCAATAACTATGCTAATAAAGCCACAGTTTCCCAATAATGCAAATGTATTGCACTAGAGTAAGTTGTCCAGAACAGGAGAAGCAATCTTAGAATACCAAGTTGGAAGGGACCTCAAGGATCATTTGGTCCAACCTTTCTTGGCAAAAGCACAGTCTAGACAAGATGGCTCAGCACCTTGTGCAGCTGAATCTTGAAAGTGTCAAATGCTGGGGAATCCACCACTTCCCTGGGGAGATTATTCCAATGGCTGATTGTTCTCATTGTGAAAACTGTTACTCTTGTGTCTAATTGGAATCTCCCTAGGAATGACTTGTACCCATTAGCTCTCATCTTTTCCATGTGGCTCCATGTAAAAAGGAAGTCTCCATCTTCTTTGTAGACACCCTAAAACACTGAAACATAGTGCTAATGTCTCCCGTAAGCCTTCTTTTTCCTTGTGCTTGTCCTTGTTGAACTTCATAAGGTTCTTGTTAGCCCATTCTTCCAGCCTATGCAGATGTTCCTGTAGGGTGGCTCTCCCTTCCACAATGTCCACAACCCCACTCAGTTTGGTATCATTGGCAAACTCTGTCAGGGTATACTTCATCCCATCTTCCAGATCAGTTGTGAAGATATTAAATGGCATTGGGCCCAATATCTATAGGGATCCCCTAGGGATCTCTAGGGGATCCCACTGGTGACAGGTCACCAGTTTATAAAGGAGCTATTTACTACCCTCTGTGTGCAGCCTGTCAGACTGATGGGCCTGTAAGTTCCTGGGTCCTCCTTTAAGCCCCTCTCAATGGTCATTCTTCCACTTTTCCATCTCTGGTACACAAATGAAAAGTTTCAGAAAAATTGGTACAGTGATCTGCCTCCATGAGTGACCCTTTAAGTATTACAATTCCAGGGATTGGGGTAAAGGTCACCTACTTATGAGATTTTTCTTTTTTAATTTCTTAGTTACCAACTAGTCACATGCAAACTTAGTCATCCATACAGATATACTAGCAAAAACCCTTGTTGCCTGGTTTCAGAAAATCAGATACACTCTGGGCTGTTAGTGTGGAGGAATCCTTACCAAATAATTGACTACTGCCCATATTTTGAGAAGCTGAGGAAATTCCCTTTCTGGAAGTGAGTTGAGTACTTTTTGTGTAGCATTGCCTGGTGTTGGCCACATGTTAGGTGTCTGAAGAAGAGTGAAATCCATAGAGTGAAATTCTTCATGGGAGAAATTTGCATCTCTGCTGGAAAACCTCAAAGACCTGTAAACAGGAGAAAAGAAAAAGAAGCAAATGGATCAGGGCTGATGTAAAAATCCTAGATGGTTCCTCCAAATTCAGGTATCTCAATTCAGTGTCAGAGGTCCAGACCTTCATCTGTCTTCTCACAATATGCCTTCATGGTTATCCTGTGTGGTGGTGTAATCTCAGCTGACATATGTCTGTATGCAGTATACTCTTTAGCCCATTTCTAACTGCTTTTGACTCTTGCATTTCAGGTAAGATGCCCACTGTGGTCTCTCCAGAACTGTACCGGACCAGGTTTTGTGAAGCTATGGACAAGTATTTCCTAATGGTGCCAGACCATTGGACAGGACTGGGCCTGAACTGCTAAGCTAAAGCCCATATTGGGAAAGCACAGGAGGACAATGACCTCATAAGCCACTCTCTTCCAGCAGTCTGTCCAGCAATATACAAGAGGATTGCAGTTCCATGTCTGCACTAACTACGTGTGTCATGTTGTGAGGTGTGAAATCTGCTTGTTGCACTTTAACCCTCTCTTGGAGGATGATAAGCAAACCTGCCTCACTAAGGATATAAGCTGAACAGCATTGGTTAAAAGACATCCCTTCTGTCAGTGGGGAAGGTGATGCTATCTCCTTGTAAGAGTACTGAAGAAGATACTGTCCAGGTCATGATGGTGTAGAAGTACAAGATCTCTCTAAGTCTTGCACTGCCAAAATAGTGTTGAATATGTGCAGCTCATGTTTCTGTAGTGGATGTGTGGTACTGCAAATGTGAAATAAACCCCCTGTGCATCAGTGGGTGAGAGAAAAATGAAGTTAATTCATGAGTTCTACTATTGTTGCAGTGGTCTGTAGTTGAACTGTTCAGGATCCATTAATAACTTGTCCTGCTTATGCTCCATAGTTTCAATTTTTTCCTGGATTCCGTAAACAGTATTTTTTTAAGACAACTCCACATCTGTAATACCATATGACTCCATCTTTTACATTATATTGCTGCAATACAACTTTGTCTTTATCTGTCATAACTTCATTTTAGCTGAATCCCATAAATATGGCATCAGCAGACTGCAAAACCCAAAACATATCCTTCAGTCCTAAACAGTACTTTGGTCTGAATGTTGCTCAAATCCCTGAAAACACGTAACTAAAAAATACACCCTTTAATTTAACAAGACTTGATTAATGATAGTAATGTAGCAGATTAACTCTCCTTCCTTGCTAGACAAAGTGATAATTTTCTCCGTAATGACACCATCATTCCTGGCAGATCACTTCAAATCCATTTCAGTTCCCTGGGACTTTCAAACAATGCATTTACCTCATGGTGAAACTTTGCTGGAAGAATGTTTTTCTTGCATTCATGACTTTTTTTTTTTCACTGAGATGAATGTAGTTGTCATTTTCTGTATAAAGAAAAAGCTGAACTAACAGGTATCTTGTGTGATGGATAAGATGTGCAGAGATCTGTGAATCTCTGTTATGACAATAAGCACTTCTTCCCATTTTTATTACTTTTTACCTCGTTTTATAGCTGAAAAGTTTACTTCTTACTTTCATTATAATATAGGCCAGTAAATAAGAGGGTGTTTTGAGTTTGAAAGGCAAGAATACTGTCCTTTGACTTCCAATCTATGATGGAAGGACTTCAAATGAGCATGGAATCTGGGATGGTGTAACTCTTTGTGATGACTTGCTCATTCTAACCAATTGCCTGATAATGCTGCCTTCGATGTAACTGTGGATTGAAACATGCATTTTGTTCACTCCTCTTGTGTTCAGCATTTTCTTCTGCAGCAGATTGTGGTGGTTTTGTTCAGAAGTGACAGCTGGGCAACACTGAGAAAGGAAAAGGCCAGCAGTGAGAATTGAACTGTTAGCTCCAATACCAGCTCATGTCTGAGCTGCCAGGAGGAAACAATCATTTGTGCTGGAAGAAGTCTTCACTACTCCATTGCAAAACCTTACTAGAGGATGAGCAAAGATGCTGACCTTTAAGCAGCAGAAATAAAAGTATTCTCACTTCCTCAATATAATGCAATAATTTTTTCTGGGGGTGCACTATTGAGGGCTGCAGTGATATGTGCTCTGGAAAGATGACTCAGTACTCCTTGTTTTCTCTACCCAGAGAGAAACAATGCATCAGGTACAATTGATCAGCTCTGGGGTACATCTTGCCTCCTCTGTTGAAAAGTATTCCCAGGATGCCTAGCAGTATGTGGGGCCTTGTGTAATGAGGGTCAACCAGTCCATCTGTGCTACTCTCACTTTTGTGGCTTCTACTTTGTCTTGCTTCACTGTTGTGAAAGAATATGCCATGCAGCCTGAATCTGTTCTAGTCTCAGCTGAAGTTTACATGTGTTCTCCTCCTTCCCCTCCTGAAGTTTACAGGAGAAAAAACTTTACTTGCCTACCAGCTAAGTATCCAACAGCAGCTGATTGTTACCTTCCACCGTTCTCAGTATGTGGATTGGTTGATGAAACAGGAGTATGGGCAGTGTCATGCCATCTGCACTAGGCCTAGGTAGAGCTGTGATGTGCTGGCCTGGTCCTGTCACCAGTAACCCTTACTCCTATGATGTGTGGCTGCTCTATACTGCTTGTCTTCCAGAGCCCCAAGCAGCTGGCTCTAGAGCAACTTGATCATCTGATGGTAGCTAATACTCCTCTGTACATGACAGCACAAGGCCTTCAGCACTGTAGATGTGAGAAAACCCTCCACTGTTTTGCAGTCTGTGAACACAGAGCCCAGATCTGTGAATTGTGACCTTCTTGGGCTGAAGTTACAGGAGTTGGAGAGATTTGCAGGAGTGATCTTGAGCTGGCATCAACACCTAGCATTGGGCCAGGACGTGACTAGATTGGAGTAAGTAGCAAACTGCTAGTCGTGAATAACACAGTAGCTATGGTATCAACTGCAATTGGGCTATCTTTGGGCACTATGTAACACAAAGCTGTAAGCATTTCCAGTTCAAATCCCAGTAGTTGAGCAGATCTCCTCAAGTGCTGCCTTTTCAGAATAAGAGTTGTCCTGGCATTTCAATTACTACAAAACTGACTTTTTCAGGAGAGAAATTCTTGATGCAGAAGAGATCTTTGAGAGATGTCCTTGTAAGGCTGTGTTAGGTCTGTGTCCCTGCAGCATGCCTAAGGATGTCCTGGGTATTACAAAACCCCTTTGATCAGAGAGGGTTTTTATTTCTTTATAACACAGGTTTAGCACATATACATGTAAGTAAATCCCAGTTGCAAACATGGAGACTACATTTCTTCAGAGCTACACAGGCTCTTTTTCTTCTGTTGTTTTGATCTGTGGCCTTGTGACAGATGTCTAAATCTTGTCCCAGTCAGAAGTGGTGACTCACTTCGAGTCATCGTATAGACAGCAGAGTGCCCTGTGGTGGCCCAGGGATGCATTCTGACCCCAAAAACATGAGGGACTCTTGATGGTAAAGTAGTGCTGCTGGGCTCAAGAGGGGTTGCCTGTGGACTCTCCTGTGTGAGAATGACCAAAACCAAATGATTCACTCGTTAGCTGATGGCCAAGACTAACCTTTACTTAAAGCACTTAATGTACCATAATGTATGTATTTCTATCCTACCTTGGTTCAGCTGTATTTTATATAGTTGATGTACTAAACTTTAAGAATTTCTGCCTTGACTACTTGGAGAATCAAAATGTGATGTATATAGATATAAATAAAGTGACTAAAATATATTTGAGTCTGTTCTGTATGTGGAGCAGTTAGGTCTCACAGTGCCCCATTTCGTGATCAGGGGCCAAGCTCTGCTTGCCCTGCAGGGACCTGTGTTGGAGAGTGCCAGCTGTGCCTGCAGAGTATGTGTGCCTCTGGGGTCTCTGTAACTTGCAGCTCATCTCTTATAATGGAGCAGCTCCCTGGGGCAGTGGCAGTAGAATGTGTAAATAATCATTCATGCAGTTCTCCTATCTTCTCCCCAGCTGCTTTTTCCTGCAGTGTTGTGTGAGACAGGGAGCCAGTTTTGTCCAGCATATGGTAGTGTGCCTTGCCTGATTCTTCCAAGATGTTGTCAGGGTCTGGAGGAAAAGTTGTCTGGCTCAGAACAACCAGTTGGGAAAGCAGTGGGGGGAACAGGTTGAGCTCTGCATAGTTGGGGTGGTGGCTGCTCCCCCCAGCCCCTTGAGCCTTAGCAGGTCCCTGCAGGTCTGCACTGGAACGGCCTTGGTGACCACATGGCTCTGATGTGAGCCCTGAGATGGTGGTGGTTGGCCATGTGTCCTTGCTGCAAGCCCTGAGATGATGCTGAAGCTCCTGGCTCTGCCTAAAGCACAGGTACAAGTGTGAGCTCGTGCTGGGACAGGCCCTGGGCAAAGGGAACAGATAAAAGGACAGCGAGACGTGTGCTGCGTGGTGTCCCACTGCTCTGGGGTGAACGTTGCTGAGACCATGCTGGATCCACAGGTGGTGACTATCTACCTCCCTTTCTCATCTATTTTTCTAATTTTCTCTCGACTTTTCTCTTTTGCTCTCTCCTTTTCTCCTTAGTTGCAGGGAGCAGTATCCCCTTAATGACTCACTAAATGCCATCATCAGTGCCTGTTGAAGTTTGCACTGTGTGTGAATGCTGTGAAATTTACTGATTTGCCTTTTGCCAAGTGTCTTATTCCACATGGGTGACCCAGAGTTCATAAGTAAAGATGATTTCCTGTTAAACCTCCTGAGAATTGCCTTATTTCTCCTGTGCACTGCTCAGAGTCATTCAGCATTATCTTCCCCTCAACCCACCAAGCAGAACTGGGTGTTACAGACATGCTCTTCATTTTCTTACATGCAATCTGCAGTGTGTGGCCTGACTGCATATGTGACAGTAGAGATGTCATAGGCCAGAACTTGCTCAGTGGGAGCTGCCAGAGAAGTGCAGAGTTCCTCCTTTGCAGTGCATCCAGGGCAGCTGCTGTCTGTAAGGGATCTCAGTTCATGCAGCAGCATCTCATGCTCTTCAATGCAGGATTGCCCAGCCGACAACTCCTTGGAGATGCAAGCAGTGTTCCCTCTATTCCACACAAGTTCTGTGCCCATCTTTCCTAGGAATGCTTGCATGGGTCAGTAGTACTTAGTCTGATGAAAGATTGCAGAATCAGGCCTCCCTTGAATGAGAAGAACAAGAAGCACCAGTGAAGCACCTTTCATTCTCTTGGCTGTACAGTGAAATTCTTTTGTAAGTGCTCAGACTTTAAACACTTGTTTCATGTTTGTACTTCCTCCTATATATTGGAACCATTGGGGAAGACAGCATTGTGCTTTGAGGTAAGCTAAAATTAGCAGAGATGCAAAAAACCTAACAGCTTTCCTATTTAGGAGCTGTCTGAGAAATCGTGCAGTAGATTCCTAGCCCTGAGTCAGTACATTTAGCCTTGGACTTGTACTAGCTTTAGAGTAATCTATTACATTTCCTATGTGCTGGTTTGCTTAGAACCAGTTGGAATTTAAAGTTATTTCCTTGCTTTAAGGGGAGATTACGTTGGCATCAGACTACGAGAAAATGAATATGGTCCAAGAGGACAAAGGCAGTCAGCCTTTCCAGATGACATGGTAATCACCAGATTTCTTACTTCCTATCCTCTGTAACTGCAGGGCTATTCTGAAGGATGATGGTTTGGTACAGCTAAATAACCTGTCCCCACAAGGAAAAGGCCATTACTGAAATGAGTACCTAAAGAGATTGTCTGTGAATAGCCTCTGGGTGTAATGTACCCAAGATAATTCAAGATTTTGCTGATTTTTTTAGCAACAAAAAGCTCATTCACAGATGGCATTTGATAAAGTTAAGTCAACTAACCAAAGGTTATTCTTCACAAACCAAAGCGGTTGGTGCATAACAAAACAAAGTCTTCCTGGGTGTGTTTAAAACCTCTC